CGAGAACTTCGACTCCTGTGTTATTTCAGAGCAATGGAATAGATAATAAATATTGAGCCAAGAAAGTAATTCGTATTTGTAACATTTCATATGGAAAGTGTTGTTTCATAAATCAAATACAAGCCGTTGACGGGTGCCGGCTTCCTTTCACTACGATCGCTGATAACAGCCGCGCAGGCCATACTTCTTTCGTCCTGTAACTCTGTTTCCTTGATCTGCTCAGGATACGATCTCAAGTACGGTTTATGATATGTTTTAAAAGTCTATATAGGACTTGTACTTATTATATATTTTTTCAGTTTTTGAGAGGTTTTAGAGAAATGATGCAGAAGACCACGCAGATAAATCCATGAAGTCTCCAACACAGTCAATTCTCTGCTGCTAGGATTGAGATACTAATTTGATTAATTTTGGGGTAGTGTGATAAAGGAATTAAAAAAAAAATTTTTTTTTGAGACAGAGTCTGTTGCCCGGGCCAGAGTGCCATGGCGTCAGCCTAGCTCACAGCAACCTCAAACTCCTGGGCTCAAGCGATCCTCCTCCTCAGCCTTTCAAATAGCTGGGGACTGCAGGCACTACTGCTCCGGCTAAGTTTCTATTTGGTAGGAGACGGGGTCTCACTCTTGCTCAGGCTGGTCTCGAACTCCTGAGCTCAAACAAGCCTCCCGCCTCAGCCTCCCAGAGTGCTGGGTTGATATGTATGAGCACCGCCAAGCCAAGGAATTTTTTTTTGGAAGGGAATTTTGAGTTTATAGATTTCTATTTCAGAGCATATTTCCAATGAGGTAGTGGCGAGAATATAAACTCTATTTTGCCTCAGCGTTATAATTCATCAAGAATTTGTTGACTTTTTATTGCCAAACACTTGGATTAACTTTGAAGTCGATACAGTTAAACAGCACTTTAACATCCGTCTTAAAAATGGTTTCCCAGGCCAGCGTTTTAGGCATAGAGTTGGCCAAGGAAAGAAGCTCTCCTGGCGTCCACTGCATCCCAATAACATTTTCCAGGCTTCCGTGAAATTTTAACTAAACAAAAGGAGCATTTTAGGGTTCCGAATTCCAGTGTCTATTAGCAATCTCAAATGATTGTCCGTTAGCAATTTTTTTCCCCATTAAAGTTATTATTCTTTTTTAACTAGCAGAGATTTTGGACAACTCCTCTTTCTTTGTCAAAGGCTTACTGTCGTAAGGGCCTTTGGAAGGGGCACTGCTGTACCACTTTTGGAGGTTGCAGGTGCTCCTCGCGGTTACATACCGAATGTGACGCTCAGGACAGAACCAGAACCGAAGCCGACCCCGGGGCTCGGAGTGGTTCCCCTCCTGCCTGGACGCCCCTCCTGCCGAACCTCCCCTCGGCTGGGAGGGGAGTGGGGAGGCCACTCCCACCTCCCCCTCCCCACCTCCCCACCGTCCACGACATTCTCTGCCCTGTCCGCCGGGCTGTTTCACCTTTGCCTTGTGTCCCCAAATATAGAACTGGCTTGGGGACAAAGTCCAAAGTGGACCGGCACACCCCATGCTGTGCCCCGGGCTCCACTGCCCCTGCCCCCCCCCCTGTCCCCGGACCTCGCTGGGTCCCTGTGGGCACCTGCATGCAGGTGTGATGTCCCAGACGCCAGCTACCCAGCCAGCTCAGCCACGTCACGCGCTGATCCAGACTGTCCAATTCAAACCACAAGATGCACTTTTTTTTTTTTGGGGACTCTTTCACCAAAATTCTGATCATGTGAGAGAAGCAGGCGTTGGCATCGACTTGACCCCTCTGCCATTTCAAGGAGATTCCTCCCTCTCCCCCCACACTTCCACCTCTGCGTCTGAGCTGGATGTTGGAAATGATTTTGCCTCGGTTTCAAAAGGATCTGGAGAGATGGATTCTTTTTTTTTTTTTTTTTCCTCTAGTAGCTTTGTGAGGTTCTCCCGGGAGGCGCCGTGGGAGATGGGAAGGTGGTACCTTGGTGGGAACATCCGATTCAGTCACGCACACGCCACCTTGTTCCTTGAAGTCGGGGAGGCACGCTGAAATCAGCCCCGCCAGGCCATAACTTCTTTCCGTCCTGTACTCTGTTCCTTGACTGCGTCGGAAGCGACTTCCAAGTACCGTTTCATGATATGTTTTTAAAGTCTACATAGACTTGCGTACTTATTATATATTTATTTCAGTTTTTGAGTGGTTTTAGAGAAATGAGCAGGAAGACCAGCATGATAAATCCTGGAAGTCTCCACACAACAGTCCAATTCTGCCTGCCTGCATAGGATTGAGATAACTAATTTGATTAATTGGGAGTGCTGGATAAAGATGAATTAAAACATTTTTTTTGAGCAGAGCTGTTCCCGGCCCAGACGTGCCATGCGATCACCTAGCGTCACAGCAACCTCAAACTCCTTGGCTCAAGCGATCCTCCTGCCTCAACCCTCCCGAGTAAGCTGGGGAACTGCAGCACTACGCTATCCGGCTAAGTTTCTTGGAGAGACGGGGTTCACTTGTGCTCAGGGCGTCTGAACTTCCGACTCAAACAAGCCTCCCGCCCAGCTCCCAGAGTGCTGGTTGATATGGTATGCAGCCCACCACCGCAAGCCAAGGAATTTTTTTTTGAAAGGAATTTGAGTTTATAGATTCAATTCAGAGCATATTTCCAATGAGGAGTGGCGAGAATATAAACTCTATTTTGCCTCACGTTATAATTCATCAAGAATTTGTTGACTATTTTATGCCAAACACTTGGATTAACTTTGAAGTCGATACGGTTAAACAGCACTTTAACATCCGTCTTAAAAATGTTTCCCAGGCCAGCGTTTTAGGCATAGAGTTGGCCAGAAAGAAAGCTCTCCCGGCGTCCACTGCATCCCAATAACAATTCCAGGCTTCCAGTGAAATTTTAACTAAACAAAAGAGCATTTTTGTTGCCGAACTTCAGTGTCTATTAGCAATCTCAAATGGATGCCGTTAGCCATTTTTTTCCATTAAAGTTATTATTCTTTTTAACTAGCAAGAGATTTTGGACACTCCCTCTTTCTTTGTCAAAGGCTTACTGTCGTAAGGGGCCTTTGAAGGGGCACTGCTGATACCACTTTGGAGGTTGCAGGTGCCCTCGCGGTTACATACCGAATGTGACGCTCAGGACAGAACCAGAACGAAGCCGCCCCGGGCTCGAGTGCGTGTCCACCTCCGCCTGGACGCCGCCTCCTGACGAACCTCCCTCGGCTGGCCGGGGGAGTGGGGAGGCACCTCCCCACCCTCCCCACCCCCGACCTTTCCTCCCTGGTCAGGATGCAAATGTAAACACTTCTAGTTCTAGCCCAGGTTTAGAATGCTTTCTATAAATTAACCATTTGCCAGGAAATGTAAAGACTTCACCCAAAAAATTAAAAACAAATTAAATGTACGTCTTAATGGAAGGCTGTTCTCCCAGCAGAAGCAATGATTATGGTTAAATATGTCAGCATTGCATTCAAAACCCCTCATGCCTGTGTTCTCGCTCTCTTTCTAATAAGTACTCCACTAAGAGGGCATTATCTAAACTCAAATATTCATGAGCTATTTTTTTAAAAAAATCTTGAGTTCGAGTAAATATTTCTTGAAGTGGTTATCAAATTTAAAAGAGCGCAGTCCAATCAAAATGGCTCATCAATATGCGTTGTTCAGGTTGGCACTGATCAATCAAAGAATGGGAAGTCATTTTGTTGTTGCTATCTATTATCATTCCACTATGTTAAAAAGGTAGCAATTAGCACTTAGGTCTGTTACAAAGCCTCCCCTATTCAGAGGTTTCTATCCAACGGGAGACTGGCTTCGTGAAGCCAGTATTGGGCCAAGCAGGTGGTGGTTTCTGACAGACATGACAAACGGCTAATCTTCCCGTCCCGTCCACCCTCACACCTCGGCCGGCCGTGGTCATTTTATGCACCAGTGAGCTCATCTGCAGGGCAGGCAATGCACGAGAACTTCGACTCCTGTGTTATTTCAGAGCAAATGAATAAGTAATAAATATTGAGCCAAGAAAGCTAATTCGTATTTGTAACATTTCAATATGGAAAGTGTTGTTTCTAAATCAATACAAGCCGTTGACGGGTGCCGGCTTCCTTTCACTACGATAGTATTCAAATCACAAGATGCACAGTTTTTTTTTTTTTTTTGGACTCTTTCACCCAAATTCTGATCATGTGAGAGAAGCAGGCGTTGGCATCGACTTGACCTCTGCCATTTCAAGGAGATTCCTCCCTTCCCCCACACTTCCACCTCTGGGTCTGAGCTGATGTTGGAAATGATTTTGCCTCGGTTTCAAAAGGATCGGAGAGATGGATTCTTTTTTTTTTTTTTTCTCTAGTAGCTTTGTGAGGTTCTCCGGGAGGCGCCGTGGGAGATGGGAAGTGGTACCTTAGTGGGAACATCCGATTCAGTCACGACACCGCCACCTTGTTCCTTGAAGTCGGGGAGGCAGAGTCTGGGGAGGTCCCTGCCAGGTCCCCGGGGCCAGTCCGTCCTCCCCCAATTGGAAGAGTCGGCCCCGTGCGCCTGTTCTAGGTTTTGCCATCATATAGGTGGCTCCTCTTCCTCCTCTTCCTCCTCTTGTCTTTCGTCTTTTTTCCTGGGGTTAGGACGTGGGCCCCCTAAACCACGATTCCCACCTTCTGCTCCAGGACAGGAGATGGGCTGGCCTCATCACCGGCGAGCTCTGCCGCTGAACTTGAGTGGCGTCTCTGCTGACGCAGAGGCTGGGAAATCTAAAACGCATCAGGCTAATTTAAGAGACTTTTATTTCCCCCCTTTGTGCTTCTAACTTATAGATGCCGTATTTCAAACGGCAAAACCATTAAGAGCAGAGGTAGCGCTGCGCTCTTAAAGAGTAACAGGTTTGTGAGCAGCTGCGTAGGTAATTTTGGGATGTTTTCCAAGAGACTTTTAACGACCTTCATTTTAATTTCTATAAAGCAGTCGTTGTGGACGATCCAATTTACCTTTTTTTTTTTCTCTCCTCTCTCTCCCTTCTTTTCCAAAAGCCACATGCTAAGGGTAAGATCTATGTCCAGAGTCAAGGTAAGGATTTTTTAATATATCGATTTTTATTTATTCTTTAGAAAAGGGATAAAGGTTATAAATATGCATGTATATATACTTTTTAAAGAATGAGTCCTGTCCTTTAGAGACACATGCTGAGATGGTTATGGAGGAGAGAATATGATTTCTGAGATTTACTTAAAAGCAATCAGAATGGATACAGTTTTATTATTTTCTAACATTAGCATAAACTATAAATAGGAGAAATTATAAGCAGACAGTTTAACATGCAGATCACGTAACCTTTTCTACCAGAGGAAAGTGCAGTGTGCTCCACTGGTGGTGGTGTGGACCCCAAGACCAAAGGCTGAGCGTCTCTGTTTAAGTTCACTCGAGCTGGGGTGGCCTGGACTGCCTCTGCCCCCACCGGCCCCCACCCCTCCCCCAGTCCTGCCCCTGCGGCGGCATCTGACGCCTGTCCTAAAACACTCTGAGGCCGAAACATGCTTGGTGAGCCACCAGTGTCACAGGCCCGAGGAAGAACATGTTGACAGAATTGATTCCAGGCCCAGGTTGGGGAGGCTCAGAGGCCAAGGCCAGGAGGCCGAGTCTCAGGGGGACTTTTGCATTGCACCAAGAATGCACAGGGCCCAGGGGCCCGCCTTCCCTGGGGCACACCATCGGAGGGGCGTGGTGTCATTGCTCTGGTGGTCTCAATGACATTTTTAGCTGGTGCAGCAGGAAAAACCCAGGCTTGGAAGCAGCGTGGGGGTCTGAACCTGCAGCCTGCCGCCTGCACCTGCAGGCTGCTCGGCCCTCAGCAGTCTCCAGCGGGATAAGCCGGGGGAATCGACCTGCTCAGCGGGTCTTGAAGGATTCTTTCCCAGCGGTGTGTGTGGACAGTCCGAGGCCAGGCTGGGCTCGGAGAGGACACCTGCCAAGTGGCCGCTGTCTGTGTTACTCAGCGTGAGTGACACCCAGCTGGTGTCAGAGATGGCCGGATGGCTCGATTTGCATTTTACGAGACTGCCCACCATTTTTCTGTTCGATGTCACCTCCGAATTTTCTAAATCCGAAACGTCTGTTTGTCCAGAACAAGTTAAAAGTAACCCGGTCTGTCTGAGGAAATGACATAGACAGACTTCGGTCACTCACACGGGATTCGGTGAGGGCTGAGCTCAGGGCCATTAGGGTTTGGCTCATGATGCTTTAGAAACCTGTTACTTACACGCGTTTTTTAAAAAAGGAACTCAAGGTGTGTATCAGCCCGAGGCAGTTTGGTCCAGTAGTGGATCATGGGGTTGAAAGTGGTGGGTGTTTTCTCATCCGGAGCCCGTGGGCTCACTTCAGAACCCCTCGTCCTGGGGGATTAGTGG